AACATGCTATCAGAAGCCATTTGTTGGATTCTTTCCAATAACTACTCGATACCCTACTTAATCCACTTGCTAGATGATTTCCTAATCATTTCACCGCCCGACACCGTCCTAGCTGCACATCTTCTCACAGTCCAATAAGTCTTTGCTGAGCACGGGATTCCAATCGCCCAAGAAAAAACCATGGGTCATTAAATTGGACATGGTTAACTTCCAGGCTTCACTGCCCAAGGAAAAATTTGACAGGATTATTCTGGTCGCATCCACCCTTCTAGAAAATCCAAATTCCTCTAAACGAGAGCTACTATCTCTGCTCAGCCACTTAAACTTTGCGATGCGCATCATCCCACAAGGCCGCCCTTTCATTTCACATCTCCTCTTCCTCGCATCATCATCATCATCATCATCATCATCATCATCACACACTAGAGGACCGAATCTCCCTAACTACTTCATGTTGTAACAAGCTCAGGTTATGGATAACATTCCTTAAACAATGGAACGGCCTGTCCTTTTTCTATAATAATCTGATTTCTCTCCCCGTGGATATCCAACTGTTCACCAACGCAGGTCCCTCCATTGGTTTCGGGGGATTCTGCCAAGGCCATTTGTTTGCGTCCACATGGTCCGCCCAGTTGCTAGACTCACCGCAACCACTAACATCCTCAGTGCTGTTCGAGTTGTATCCTTTAGTGGTAGCAGCTTTCCTGTGGGGTAAGGAATGGTCAACTAACAGCATCATGGTACACTGCAATAATGAAGCAACTGTGCATTGCATCAACAAAAGCCGCTCAAATTCCCCTGCACTAATGCCTCTCCTAAGACGCCTTTGGATCGCAGCTTCCGATCAGTTCATCTTAACTGCAAAACATGTTCCTGGGTCAAAAAAATCAAATAGCTGACTCTCTCTCTCTCGTTTTGCTTTCCAGAAATTCAGGCTGCTGGCACCAGATGCAGACCCGTTCCCAACCCCAGTACCTCACTATTCAAAGCATGGGGAATGAGATCTGTTTGATTAAAACATTCTTCCAAATATCTTCCTTTGTGTTCAGCAGAACAAATAAACACATAGAGGTTTGGAACAACATGAGGCTGAGTAAATACTGACAGAATTTTAATTTTTGGGTGAACTAACCCTTTAAGCTTTGCACTCCACAAGTTTTGGGGGGTCATCAACATCATTCTGGCATCTGTCCCGCCAGGGTTCTCAAGTCTCACGCATTGGCCGTGAGACACGCATTTCGACCGGTTCACACGCTCACACACCACACTGTGTATTTCTCACGCTGAAAAGGCAATGCCAACCAAGTTGTCCTGGCTGAAAGCTTTCTAACGTTGTATACGAGGCGCAGGCAAACAAAGTGAAGTTTCCTGCCGCCAGCGCGTATCTCCGCCAGATTGCGTTCGTTACTAGGCAACAGTAACGCTGCGTGCACCACTGATCTATCCACAAGTTTCCGAGGGGCGCTCCTGTAAAAAATAAAGTGGGTGAAACTTCCGGTGAGGCGGCGGAAGTAGCATTCCAATGGTATTTTGTGTGTTAGTTAGCGAAGAGGCTAGCTGTTTTTCGGAGAATTATTTTACTATTTAAAGACGCAAATCTTTGTGAGAGATGTCGTTACGGAGCTCATGGACAACATGTGCTGTTCGCGGTTGTATGTATAACCGGACTAAACTAGTTCAGTGGCTTAAACGTGATTTTTTTGAACATAAGCTGAAAACGAAATCAGAGTGTTCCTGCCAACGACTGTAGTTTCCATCACCTCCCAAAAGACGACGAATCTTCCTGTGTACATTTGTTTAAATTCTTAATATTCTATAAACTTTTATCAGCATGTGATTGGCTGTTCGCTACTGATGTTGCACCTAAACTCAGGATCAAAGCCTGAGTTGACAGAATACCAAATGTGCCAGTTAATGTATTCAAGTAGCACATTCATTTATAATTTTGAATAAACTCCAAAGCACAATGACTAAGTGTGTATTTTTTATTTTAATTGTTTGTCAGCTCGCACAACTGTCTGTCACCATGCCTTGATGAGTATTGATTATTAATAATGATTTTATAATACTCCCAATCAACTACTGCGGAGGGTAAAGGTACTGTTATTTCACCTTTTTTAATTTCGTTGAGGTTGTGTTCCCACATCGTTAGCTAGTTTGGATCGCTATAACTTGAATGACTGTCAACTGTTGAATGAACGAGTGTCAAGCATGTCAAATCGTGCTTTGTTTACTTCCAACCGGAAGTCGCGCCCACTTTTGACGCAAGGCCTCATGGGGCGTAGGAAACTTGTGGATACATGACATGTCATTCAGTAGCACGAACACACGGAAATGGACGGAACATCCTCGGCCACCGTACGTTCGTTACTAGGTAACCAACAACATCGTGCGAACACATGTGTCATGATGGAGAAGAAGGTAAGTTGGAAGAAGCTCGTCTAACATTTTTGGGCTAGAACATTTAATATGTAGCCCATCGTACATTATTATTGATGCAGTCAAAATTCTACAACTACTTTGCAACCAGGCTCAGTTTTACGTTCTTACGTTATCTGAAACTAAGAGAAATGTTAGTGGGTATGGAAAGGAATGAAGATTTACTGATTTTATTTTAAATTATATTATACTGTAATATTAATAGTCTTTCTAGTTACATTAAGGATGTATTACAGCAGATTGCTCTGGGTAATATTTAATCATTGTCATAATGTTGCATTTGTATTTTTCAAAGATGTCAGGAAAAAAGCAGGAAGATATTTTGTCATTTTGGGCACCAAAGGGTAAGCCCCCTAAAAAGGTTGCCAGATTAGAGGAGGAGACAATGGAAGAGGTGGTGCACTCTAATCTGTCCATTTGTTCTCAATGTCCCACCACACAATAAATCATTCGTCTAGATAGAAGACGCATTCAAAAATCAAAATGCAATTTTTAAAGATTTGTTTGAAACTGTTTGGAGCAATTTGTTATATTTTTGGTTAGTTATATTTGTAATACTGCATTAAAGAGTATTTGATGTGATGAATTGCTCTGTCATTTATCAGATTTACTAATTGTTATAATTTTAATTTGTTCTGGTTAATTATGAACAATGGGTAAAATTGGGGGTGGGGATGGGTGGGGCGGGGCTTCATTATGGCTCCTCCCCTAACCGCGTGTGATCTCACTCCAAGCTTTTGCTCAAACTTGAGAACCCTGTGTCCCGCATTTTATTTGCAGCTTTTTGGGGGGAGTACTCTGGGTTCGGGACGAATACCAAGCCCGGAGCCCTCTCCTCGAACCGCACACCAAATACGCATTTATTCTATCTGACTTATTTGTAAGTGTGAACTCATGAAATTCTGTTTTATAAACAAAGTTCGGGAGGAGAACATTCAAATAATCATTCCAATCAACTTGTCCTCAAACAATTACAATGTCTACCCTATCAGCACGAGAGGAAGCATATATATATATTCCCTTGACAGTTTTGGCATCCCTCCACCACCCCCACTCCTCACTCTTGGCTTATTCTTCACAGTCAGTAATACAGGGGGAGTACTCTGGGTTCGGGCCGAATACCGACTCGGAGCCCTCTCCTCGGACAGCACACCAAATACACATTTATTTGATCTGACTTATTTGTAAGTGTGAACTCGTGAATTCTTATTCTTGTCTCGTCACAATCAGTTATGAATTAGCCTACATGAATGATACAATATCTTACTGTATATTCAATTCAAAACAGAATATCCTAAACATTGACTAGTTTGCATCACTGGATATATTTTCAACGCACTCTTTTGCACATCTTCTGGACAAGACCCTTCTTGTTAGCCATCTTGTTAATTTTACATTGACGAGTGCTAGGCAGAGCAGCCACAGTTTTAACTTTTAAAACATTTGTAACAACAACAAACAGCTTTACTCACTTTCACCCACAAAAAATAAAAATACAAAAATAAAAAATAGGCCTATAAGAAAAATATATTAAAAATCAAATGAATGTCGCAAATCTGTTTTCCAATGGCTCTGGATGGAACCATTGAGGACATGCACAGACTGGATACATTTGTGTTTTATGTAGCTACTTTGAAGATGAAAATTAATCAGCTACTTTTTCTATGAAAATTAATCTGCTACTTCACCCAAACTTGATCAGTTAAGAGATCATCCACATGGTGTCAGTGTCTTGCAGCAAAAGGCTGCTGTTGAACTCAAAATGTTTGCACTTTATTCAGGATTCAGCCTGAAACGTTCTTTCTTTGCATTTAATGTTAATTCATCATATAGACTTCAGTAGGCTAATAGCTCACCACATTAACATATTTGAAGAATTAATCAAAAACAAGCCTAAATAGCCAATATTTGCCCAATACCGTTGATGATTCTGGATTTAGTTATTTTAAAGGGGAAATCTGTCGCTCCACTGTTAAACCACTTTTATCGTGTATGTAACATACAAAGTGGCTTTGAACTATTGTTGTTTGCAGAGAAAACATGGCTTCAATAACTGGCTGTCCATTTTGTATAAAAGTTACTTAAGGTTAATTACTTCCTACTGTAGTAAGCTATATAGGCTATCACTCACAGGCGTGATGAGTCGTGCTACGTAATAGGCCCGATGTGCCATATGTCAGAATCACATAGGCTACTTTTGCTTGCCATAACTCTGTAGCTGTCATTATCGGTATTTATTTAATAACTCTAATCTACCAGCTTTGTAGGCTTCTGATCCACCAGCCCAAGTGAAGGTGATTTGTTTGTACAGGTAGGCTATACTGCTTTAATCCAGACTTTAGATGTCAGATATAGTTTTTTGCCACTTTCGTAAATAGGTGGGGGGAGATGTTTCTAACCACCTCAAACGAGTTTAACAATATCTGCCTAGTGCCTATTAACTATCAAATACACTCTCCCGGTTTCAGTAAACGTGATTAATGGTGAAATGGGGGCTGGTTTAAGGCTTATGGTGACTAATGGATCTTAAGCAGATGGATTGGTATAAATGCTCTTGGTACGCCTCTATGATTCACTTTTGACACAGCTCCTGTAAATCGAACACCTGTAAAATACATTCGAATATTATTTATTTATTTATTTAAAAGGCAAAAGAGATTTTTAAAAGCAACAGAAATGTCAGTAGTGAGCGCACTACCTTTCCTGAAGCCCATTTACACGAGAGCTCCGATCTCCCCTGGCCGCCAGCGCAGGCACACGCTCCCCGCCAGCGAGTTCCGCTCACTCAACACTGAGGACGCCATCAGTGTGTTCGAAATAGAGAGAGAGGGTAAGACAAAACTAACACTCCTAATTATAACCATCAAAGTGTGTTATTCATTCATTTGGGGAACAGTACTTTTCGTTACTATAACCGTTATAGTACTGTTCATATAGGCTATAACCATAAATATGTTTGTATTGAGTTAAATATGAAATTTTATTAAAGTGCGTTTTGATATTATTAAATACTTTATCCTAAATTTGGTTACTATATTGAGTAGGATATGTGTGTGTGTGTGTGTGTATATATATATATATATATATATATATATATATATATATATATAGCCTACTCAATATAGATTTTTTTTTTATACAGTTATTTTCTCGTTTTATCTCTCAGCTTTTATATCAGTGTCTGGGGAATGTCCTCTTCATCTGGATGAGGTCCGACACTTCCTCACCCTCTGTCCTGAGCTTTCTTTGGGCTGGTTTGAACAGGGGAGGCTTGTTGCTTTTATCATTGGATCACTCTGGGACCAGGACCGCCTAACCAATGTAATCTAACCTTCAAATCATGTATTCATTATGGTCAGAAATAAATTATTTTTAAAAGTGTGTAGTATTATTATTATTATTTAATCTTAGCATGTAGTTATGTTTCTTGTAATTGGTACACATGATTTATTTTTGTTGTATCTCTTAATAGGATGCATTGACCCTTCATAAGCCTCATGGGACTTCTGTCCACATCCATGTGCTGGCCGTCCACCGGACCTTCCGCCAGCAGGGAAAAGGATCAATCCTGCTGTGGCGTTACTTGCAGTATCTGCGCTGTCTACCATATGTGCGCCGTGCCGTGCTAATGTGTGAGGACTTCCTGGTGCCCTTCTACCAGAAGTCTGGCTTTAAAGGGCAGGGTCCTTCTGAAATCACTGTAGGTCCACTTACCTTCATCGAGATGCATTATCCAATACGGGGACATGCATTCATGCGGCGTAACAGTGGCTGTTAAGGGATCGCTAGTCATGTAGCTTTTTGGATCTCCAAAAGGCTAAAGTAGTGAAGCAGTGGGTGTGTCGAAGCAGCTTTTGGTTTGGTCTAGTGCTATTTGTGTAACAATACTCGATCAGTATAGAAAAAATGGTTAGAAATATAATTTAAAAAAAGAAAAAATAGAAAAAGAAAAAATTGCAACTGCATCCCACCCTTTTACTTAACAGTGATGGCTGAAATGTATTATTTGAATTCATCAAGTCAAACTTGGATATTTTTTTTCTTCCAAAGTCAGGTTATGTTTATATTATTGTTTATTTTGTATGCATTTCCCTTATTACATTTTTTTTTAATTAAGCAAATTTTAAATTCATGACAGATTTGTCTGTTGTGTTGTGAGATCATGGTCAAGGCTGAAAAGACACAGCAGTGATTCAGCTGTAAACATACTTTTGGCTACTTTTTGTGTTCAGTGTCTTGTGGCTGCTTTAGATGTGTGTCTGTTCAATGGAAGTATTAAAATAGCATAAACTGAATATTTTTCCACTGTGATCTCTTATGAAAAAAGCCACAAGAGAGCATCCGTGTTGGCTGGTATTTCTGTGAGTGCCAATGTGACAAACATGTAATATACAATCTCATAAACATGAAAAACTATTGGTTTGGCACCAGAACTATTTGATTTATTGATTAGAATTGCTTGTTTACTTGTTTCAAAGCAAAGGATTGAAGAGATAATGTTCAATGTACAGAGGTGTTGCAAAACAGAAATCATCACCTAAATGTGTCGGACAATTTGAGATGTTTAAGACTGGTTTCCATTGCCTTTCCCTGTAGAAATCCACCACATATGCCTCCACAGTCTTGAATCAAGACATCTATGATTTTGTATACATTTTGCAAGTAAAAATAAATAAAAGAATATATTTTTCAGAACGTTTGCTCTTTTCCCTTTTTAGATTAGTCCAAGTCATTGTTTAAATTTCTGTAGCATTCACAGGATGACGATTCTGGTTTTACCATTGATTTTATTTATTAAATAAGGCACAGCGAATTAGTCAAATGCAAGCACTTTTTTCTCACAAATTGTGAAAGACAAAAATATAAACATTTGTTTCACAGGAAATAACATTCCCAAATTAATTTGTATTATTATTTGAAACACTAGTTATTTGGTCCACCTCTAATCATGTGTACAAATACCTTCAACATAAAACACGTTCCAGATTGTAAGATTGACACTTCTGTTTTCTTTTAAGGCTCAAGTGCAGCCCCCAGTAAACAATGATGCACTGAATATCAAAAAGAACAGCAGCTGAATTTAACTTTGAAATTACAATAAATGGAGACAAAAGACCAAAACAATACATTCTGTTCCAAGGGAATGCACACAATTTTATGCATGCAGTGCATCAATAAACATTAATAGCTGGTTGTCAACAACAGCTCCCCTTGTTCAATTCAAACGCATGCTTGCATCCATGAACACATACAGGAAGCTAGAGTTATCAACATTCAAACCCCTAGTGTGTTCATAAATGTGGAACTAGACATTTCTAGCCTAGACAGAGGTTTTCAGTTGTCTGAGGCACAAAAAACAAATGAAGAATAAAGTATTTTGAATGTCACTGAGATTTCAACATAAAACCTTATTATTTATAGCCAGTTCAGTGAAATTACTCTACCGTTTATTTAATTGCTCTGCAGTTCTTTCGGCAAACACAAACTAAAGTAACAGGGAATTAACCTTTATGTGAATGTTTTTTTTTTTTTTTTATTATTATTGTTATTGTGAAGTTAACAGTTGCATATTTTTTAAAGTTTAAGGACATTTAAAAGGGAGTATAAAGCTTTGGATGAACATTTAGTCTCATATATTTGTAAAAGAGTACAATACAGGCTTCAGTAACAACACATCATAGTTTACCTGCACACTATAAGAGAAAATCAGAGCTGCTTCGGGAAAACACTGTGCATTCTAGCGGTTACAAAGGTGCTAAACTACCAATTTAATATGCCATTATTTGCTGTCTTCCTCGATTTTATTTTTTCATTGGGATTTAGCTTTCTTTACCTTGCAGTCCTTGAAAGTTTTAGTCTACACAAGAACAAAGCTAGTGTACCACATGATCAATATCATAGCGTTCACAAAACTTGCTGGTAAAGGGCAAGCAGGTAAGATGCTCTAGCCAGTGCCAGTTTATGGGGTAAATGTAGAACCAGACAATAAGTGAGGACACCAACCCCACATAGACAAGCAATGACAACAAAATAACAGCTTGTTTTCGGTACTTGTCTAAGGTGCCAAACGCGACATACGGAAGGAAAGTAAAGGAAAGCAGAAGACCACTGAGGAAGCCAAAGATGTGAGCAATGTTGTCAATCCAGGGCAGAAGGCCACAGAAGAAAAGGAAGAGAACAATGCCTAATAGCTTCAGGAAAGCCTTCCATGGCTTTTCCAACATCTGCCAGGCCTGGAACAGCTCCACAAAAAGACAGGCTAACAAACCGAACTGAGATCCTGCTGGACCAACCTAGTAGAAGAGAAAGATTAAGTAATGTCAGTATCATGAAGGGTGAAAGTGCATTCCTTCAAGGCACTTGATGCTAGTGGTGATGTAATCTTTCAATAAAATTTCAATGGGACATCATTTTAATGAACTCTTATTATTAAATATCTAAAGACAATTACACACACACACACACACACACATATACACTCTAAAAAATGCTGGGTTGTTTTAACCCAATTTTGGGTCAAATATGGACAAACCCGAAATGTTGGGTTAAAAATGTAATGTAAAAATTTAACCCAACGCCTGGGTTAGTCCATATTTGACCCAAAGTTGGGTTAAAACAACCCAGCATTTTTTAGAGTGTATATATATATAATATAAACTGAAATATATGTTTAGAAACATTTTAAGGAATAATTTAAAAAACGTTTAAAAAAAAGTAAAAAAGTAAAAAAAAAAAAAAAAAAACCCTGAAATTCCCAAACCTCTATGATTTTAGCTATTTATGTTTAATATAATGCTCAGGATATTTCTTCTTAAAATAGTGAATATATATATATATATATATATATATATATATATATATATATATATATATATATATATATAAACTGAAATATATGTTTAAGAAACATTTTAAGGAATAATTTAAAAAACGTTTAAAAAAAACTAAAAAAGTAAAAAAAAAAAAAAAAACCCTGAAATTCCCAAACCTCTATGATTTCAGCTATTTATGTTTAATATAATGCTCAGGATATTTCTTCTTAAAATAATAAGAAGAATATGCATAGATTTGTTTGAAGTAAAAAAAAAAATATATATATATATTTTCAGTACACACCGAAAATCTTTTTCAATCTCCACAATATCCAAGAACAACTTTGTCTGCATACATTTGAAAGGTTGGTGTACTTAACACCATTTAAGGCAAAAGAGGAGGAGAAACTGCACACAGATTTCACAGATTCTTGCATGTACAGTATTGGGAGTGGTTTGAACATGCAGAACTGTGGAAAAGATGCTTAAAATATATGTGCCCGGTTTCAAGGATAAGGCTTAAGCCTAGTCTGAGACTAAAATTGATATTTGAGCTAACTGAAAGCTGACACTGACATATTTTAAAACAATTCAGTGCCATTGTTTTGTTTCAAGATGCACACTAAGGCACATTTATAAAAGCTACTTCAATGTCCTAATTTAACTATGGCCTACTCCAGGCTTAATCTAATTTTTTGTGAAACTGGGCCATGGTGAACACAACAAAAGAGCATACTTTTCTTACCCAACATTTAGAAAACAGTATATAGTGCACAAATCAAATGATGCATTATAGAATTATTTTTCTAAATTTGAAGAACTAGGGATATCAGAGGCTCCAAACAATCTTGGTTTCTTTCATTAAGAGATTTTAAATACATCCAAAAACATGCCTTCCTTATTTAACACGCCTGATTCAGATCATCAGCTTGTTAGGAGAGAGAACTGAATAGAGTTCATCAATCAGTATATCAGATAGATATACTGAGATATACAAAATGTGCAGAGCCGCGTGTCCTTAAGACCATTGGAAACCACTGTTCTCGGCAAGGGCTCTAAAGCATTGTTCTTTTTTTTCCTTAAATGGCAGATAGATAAGTGTGTCATCATTGTAACAATGAAAATACACACCATGCTTTTTAAAAATAGACCCAAAGGCCAGGGTAGTATCTACAAAGAAAACCAAATGGAAAACTTATATATATATATATATATATATATGGGTGTGTGTATATATATATATATATATATATATATACTGTATATATATATAAGGATTCTAATCAGTCTAAAATTTTATTTCTGTTTTAATGGAACCATGGATGAGAAAAGTATGACTATTAACTTAACTTAACTATTTTTTGTTTGGAACGAAAAAAAAAAGGGTTTCAACCAACATGAACACAATGTTAATGTTTGGGAGAATGATCCTTTCAAAGACCAATGTTAAGATAATTGATGTGACTTCCTGTTACATTCTCACAGCAGCTTTAGTCTCTGACGTTATCTTGCTAATGGAAATGTTTCAGACATTTTTTAATGGTTTGACCACTTCTAACGGCCTTGTTATTATGTAAAATGGTAGAGAAACAAAAGCGCAGAGTGTCACGCAGGTGCATAAACAATGAGTCAGATAAACAAAGCTGGTCTGAATCCGAGCGCAGACATGCCTTTGTAAAATTTGTATTAATGCTTGCCACTACAGGGTCAAATATGAATCCATTTAGCCATTTTCAACAATCAGTTGATGTAACCATTTGGTATGATGAGAATGAAATGCTGAAAATGGAATCTGCAACAAATTATGAGAAAATATCATTTTGAATAGACATAATGGCCCATTATTTGCACACTTCTCTTAATTTTTTTTTTTTTTTTT